TGAATATCTCTTGAATATCTCAATGAAATTATGGATATACTCAAAATCCAGCCAAATTTCGCAAAATAACAAACTGATAATGAATTGAAATCAGCAAACTGATCTGATCAGCGTGAACTAGACCCGCTAACTGCAATCTAATCATCGATTCAGAAATATATTGCCTCCTCGAATAATATCTGAAACAAGAGAGATTTTTTGATGAGGGAGGAGTCGTTTTGAAACGGGATTTTTCGAAAACATTCAAGAACCTTGCTATCGGGTTCTGCTAGTTTTCAGGTGGAAATTGTCCTGTAACCGTACTCTTGAGATATCTTCAAAAGATTATCAAATGAAGAAAACTAAAGAGGAGAGCAGAGAGGTGAATGAAATAACAAACGATGAAAGAACAAACGTTAGCCATATCATTACTATTTTTGACTTGGCCAATTGCTCAGAATAAAATTTCTTACCTGTCAATATCAAGCCGCCAGCAAGAAGCGCAATCAAGAGTCCCGTCCCATCAATTCAGTCATNATGCTTTCGATAGCTTTCATTAAATCGTTCAATAGCACCGAATTCAATTAGTCAGTCGTCATAAATTGCTTGCTCCTGGTCTCCTGCTGGCCTCTTATTAAACGAGACAGAGGCAATGCACTCAAACACTGAAATTAATACGATGCAACAACGGAAAATAACAACGACAAACGAATGACGATATAAAAAAAGTTGGACAACGCTTGTGGGCAATTTCAATAACTCAAATAGAACAAAATGAAACGAAAGCAAACACAAACATTCATCACACTTAGAAATGGCTGACGAACACAGCAAACCGTCTGAAACGACCAAAAAATTCGGAGAAAAATGACTAGAAAAAACAATTATCGCATCCTTCCACATCCAAGTAACCATTTATCTTCTTGGCTATATATCGGACCAAGAACAACTTTCCATGACTTGCAAATTGAGATATACCATTTGAGAGTTGAGACGGGAAATCCACTGCTACTCACGAATTACGAATCCAATAGGGCCCGATAGAATGTTTTTTATCGACGGTTAAAATAATGAATCGCTCTTGAAAATCTTGCTGGCTCATCATAAAATCTCTCGCCCTATTTTCAGTTAAAACTTGAAGCCAACATGAGTAATATTTCAAATTTGATAACTCGACGACATTCAGTACACCAATATGGAGGAACGACCACTGCGTAGGAACAACCACTGAATCAATGCCCTAGCAGGGTTTATCTTGCCTAAAGAGCTCTCTCTCAGCAAGTGATGACTAGCGAAATTCCACCGGGAATATTTTGATCCTTTAATCTGCTGATCGTTTAGTAAA